TCACCTCCATGTTCGTTGCACAGCAAGCACATGAGAGACCAAACTCCGTTTAGGAACGAAACCTTCATACTTTCAGATCAAACACCGGGTTCCCATGGGTTCCGACGACCCGATCTTTTTTCACCTGGTCAACAGCTGCACTGCCAACTGGGCAAAGGCACTGGGGTATTCTTCAGCTTGCTTCGTTCTGAAGCCGCCTGATGTCGCTGCCCCACTGAGTTGCAAATGCTTTTCACCACTGAATTTGCAAACACGCTCGCCATTTGTGAATTTAAGTTTGCACTTCATAGCTTGGGCATCGGGTGGCAATGGCTGTGCATGCCAAAGCCAACAGCGAGTTGGCTTTTGCCACTTCGTTCCAAAACAACAGAAATCACACACAAGCTGCTGCCAGCACTGATGTTTAGTCAATGCTATCAACTCTGGAACGGACCACATCATGCTTCGAAAAGGGTTTTCCAACCCACAAGGCACCATCTTGACCAAGCACTTTTCGATGATGATCAAAGATTGCTGCAAAGTTTGGTTCCCATTCCAAAGGGTCTTGCGATCACCGTCCTGAAAAAGAAACGCCACAATCTTGGATCAGGTCAAGATTTCAAGCTTGGTGGTCAACAGTCCCCTAAAAAAAATGATCATGAATACAAAAGCTATTGAATCTACTATTCTAGCTTTCAGTAAGAACAAAGGAACTCTCTGTCCGTCAGGTTGTCCATTGGTAATCCCCAAATGTGATGGCCCAGTGATCGAACTCTGGCTGGCCACCCGCGAGGATTCTGCCGCGTCCGCTTTCCTCGCCGTGCAGTAGACCAAGAATCGCACGGTGTTCCTAGCCATACCTTGACGCAGGGCAGCAGGCGAAACACAATACGTTTTCGTTTTTTTGGGACTGCCAGGAAAATGATGGGAGAGGCTTGTTTTCACTCATTGTTGGCCACAACGCAGGGGGCATACCATAATGCAAGCAAACACTTGGCAAATTAAGTCAAAGCACCGCAAGGACCAGCGTGTCTTCTATCCATTGGCAAATATATTGGCACATCTCGTTGGATGTGAGATCCACACCTGTAAGGATATCCAGGCCGTAAGCACCCCAACCTGGGAAAGGGATCTGGAAGGCTTGTAACTATTGTCCATGTGACGAAGATGACTCAATGCAATGCGACATCATCTGAATCTCTGACTGTGTGATGGTTGGGACCGAGGCAAAAAGCATCACCAATTGACTTAAAAAACCTCTTGAAAGAGTCAGGTCGCCTGCAGCTTCAGCTGCTGCCACAATAGTTGCTGCTCCACAAAACAATTCCAAAAGAACTCTTCCTTGGCTGTGAAGCGAAAACGGAGAACAATGTCTTTCACTCTGACACTTTATTAATAAGCTCCAGCTTGAGCCGTAGAGGTATCTACATGATACTTGAATTATCATTCTGAAATTTAGAACCCACGCCGAAAGAAAACCACTGTCCAGATTTAGAGCTGTGTTTCGCGGGCGCATGCAAATGCTGCAAGAACAAAGCCAATGGGGCAAAAAAATGGGGTTACTGAATCTGCTGACGAAATACCAACTGTGGAACAGTAGGTGCGAAATGCACGGTCCACATCACAAGGCCTCTTCATGGCAGTCGGTGTTAGATTTCTGCCGGGGCGTTTCCGCCTCTCAGTAGTGGAGGATTTGCGGGAGGATTCTGGCACTGATGGAGGGTGAACATATGGTTGTGGCAATGGCCCATCATGCGCCAACTGACTCTGCAATGGAGATTCGAGGTTGGCGCCAGGTTCCTCTTCCAATCCTATCATAGGAGCATCGAAGGACTGCGCACTGTCCAACTGAATCTGCATCACATCGAAGACGGCATCACCGTCTTCCAAACAAATCATAACACCGAGCTGCTTCGCAGCGGGGCAACATGAATGAATCCGTTCTTGATCCAAAACTGAAGGACAGGACCTATAGTGGTTATATGCGGTTATCTGAAACCGTCTCTGACTCTCTGACTGAAGTGCAGGCGAGGTTCCTTCAAGATCAGGTCCAATCCACGCACGATGACTGGGGGAGGGAGCTTCTGCTTTGCCTTCACTCCCTCCCCCATCAGCCAGGGATTGTCCCAAAAGTAGGTCTGGGGCACCCTCTCATACCTGGACAGGGCAACTGCACTGTGCCTTGTCCAACGATGATGGCACAGATCAGAACTTGTGATAAACAATCAAATTGGCCCAACACTGACTGCTGTTAAGAAGGCTAAAGTGGAGAAAGGGGGTCAGCAAAAATTGCTTATACCTTTGACGAAGTTCTGTGAAGGTTTCTGGAATTTCGTTGCAGTCAGTTCTCCTACTGGCCCACCATTCCACGAACTGTCCACGAATAGCCTTGGGTTCTACGAATGTCCCACGCCTTCACGATGTAGAATAGTTAGGTTTTTGCATGTTTTTGCAAAACCCTTCCTGTGCACTACCCTTCTGTTTGCCTCTGATAATCATATATATATATAATTATATATAACATCTTTTGAATTCCCGAACAAACGGTCTGCCTCGAGAGAACAGCCTGCACCTCGCCATGCAGGTTCTTGAACGCTCGGATCCACTTCCCAACTGTTGAAGCCTTTCCAGACCCCAAAGCTTTCGCGATCTGCTTCTTCGTCTCCTCATATGTCCTGTACCGCTCGAACTGCGTAGCCACAACGCTGATCTTGCTATGAAGGGATGAAGGCCTGTACCTGTTGCTCTCCTCATCATGCACGGAGCAGTACCACAAGCACCGGGTCGTCCGATCATCATCCTCGAACCTAACAAAGTCACAGACCACGCCGGTCTTGAAGATCTCCACCAACTTGTCCACATACTGGGACCCATCCTGCCAATTCTGGTGGACAGGCTATCAATCCATCACACATTGACGGAGTCTCTAAGACTCGTCTACTTTGCAAAGTCCCTGAGACACGGTGCTTTCCAGGGGCCTGCCGTATTTTGGAGCTAGTACGATTACTGCAATGAGGCTTCGACACCGGAACATTAATTCAAAACCTGGTTCAATAACCTCCTGCAACATTAATGGAAACACACTCTCTCTCTCTCTATGGGGGGCGCAGTGCAGCTGCTAAGCACTAAGTGGTTCGTTCCCGGATTCGTTCCCCCTTGGGTTTTGTCACGAACATCCAAGCTTCGCCAACAAAACATCATAAAGCTCTGCGAGACCCATGTTGAATCACACAAATCTGATCAAATCTGCCTCTGGTGAGCCAGCATTCTGCCACTCCGTCTTCAAATTCTGCAATGTCGAGATGTACTGAAGCCCGTCGCCAATCATGATCAGGCCCTGCAGCTGCCATGTCGTGGACAAGTAGTAAGTATCGAGCTGGAACCCCGGCATGAGAACTTACTAAGATTAAACATAGTCTAGCTATGTACTGTAAGTATTAGCACACATTTCACAACATGCTTTGGTTTTGGCACAACAGTATGCAGCGGAAGAAACCCAATATAATATCATATCCGGTACCTCTACAAATCTGATTAGATGGCCGGCGGTAATCCACCCTGTCTGCACACATGCGCCTTGATGTCCAACATGGATGTGTCAGAACTGGAGTTCTTCAGCAATTGAGGGTCACGATAAATGTTGTGATTCACCAAACCCTGCAACAACTCCGCTCGGATTTCATCTTGTCGAAGAGGGTCTTGGGGACGCCAGCCACTGGTCTCTGAAACGCTGATGTCCTGGACAGGCGCATCACGCAAACGACGCTTTAGGAGTGGACGGTTGGGTCGCGGCGGGATCCTTCACTAACCCGTCTCAACAAAAACGCATTGAATCGAAACACAATATGCTCATCCCTAATAGGTGAACTAAGTGAGCTTGCTGCGGAACCACTACGGGATGACCACAAAGTTGAGGGACCAAGGTGACTTGACCAAAGCAGGTCCTCATTGTTGTCAAATGTGGAAGTGGGTGAGAAAACAACTGCTTCGACTAA